TCCAAGTCTTCTTTTGTAATTGAGTCCCAATATTTGTAAACCATCATAACAGCCAACAAAGTGCAAATGGTACCAAAAAACAATCCATCTATATAATGTTTTGCTGTGTCACAAATGCGTACCGAGAACATGTAGAGTATGACTTGTCCGATGACATAGAATGCAATACCAAATAAAATATCACCAAGTGGCCATCTATCATCAAGTGTATTCAACACCAAAACAATTTGTAAAACTACATATATCACTAATGCTGCTCCATTAAACACATATAAGATGATCCATAATGCTACTGGGCTCAATGGACTGAATCCAGCTATGCCATTGAATGTTGCAATGCTTATGAAATATACTGCACCAAATACAACCAATGAAGAAATACGAATTGACTAAATTTGAATGGTTAGTGAGAGTGGATCAGAGTGTAAGAAGCATAAGAGAGAATGAGTGAATGAATGTGACAATAATAATAATTAACAGTAATAATAATCATTAATGGTAATAATTAATAGTAATTACCCAAAGCGATAATGGAGTACCATCTTCTGCAAATTGAAACCCAACAAATCCATTCAATAATAAACACCAAAAAGTTGTAGTTATAAGACTTAAATGTGCTGCAGTAAAATACTAATTAATAATATATGTGTGTATATATATTTATTAGAATAATAATTTATAATCAATATAATCTCAACAGATAACACAAAAATATTGTTAACTTACAGGGTATGTTGGTGATGCTGTTGGAATAATTCCTGAAACTAATAAAAATTCCAAGAATGTAACCATCATATATAAATAGAAAAACATTACAATTTCCTTACGACCTATATATAATTAATTAATCAATTAATTAATTAATTATCATAATTTAATTTGTTAATTTATCCTTTGAAATTACTTACCAACAGCTGTATATTTTGATTTTATATGATATATCATAATAGAAGTCATAACCAATGCAATTATATGAATAATGATAGTGGCTAAATTTTATAAATAGGGAGGGAGATATAAAATTTATTAGTTCAGATTTATTAATTTGTTAATTAAAAGAAAAACTTTTTCAATGATAATAAGTCACCTGGTTGAAAAATAAGTGTTTTAACGATTTCCACATTTCTTGAATAACAGGTTGGTTCTATACCTTCCACTGCTCCAACTAGTGGACAAACAGTTAAAGCAACCATCTCACAAATATCTCTAAAATCTCCAAATTGTACCATTTTATTTTATACTTGTAACAAAAAAGAATGATTCCAATTTTGAAATTGCTGGAAAATGTTATTCTGAAAATATTATTTATAATGCTTGTTGTAATGTATCGGGATTGTTATATTTGTGTTTAAAATTATTTTATATTTAAATTTTTTTTTTCAGACGTGTCACAAAAATAAAAAAAGAAAATTTTTATTTATATATTTAAGTTGATTTATATTTATATCCATATTAATCACATATAAACAACAATCCGTCGTCTTATTTTATTGTCCATATTAAAAATATATACCATTAGCATTTTTTCGTACGCATACATTCTAAATATATCTCAATTAACCAGTAAATATTTTTACGCGTCATATACACTAGCTGGACAAAAGGATTTGATCACGTGTTTACACTAATTAATAAAAAACTTACATAACAACATCGCATGAAATTTATAACATTACCTAGGTTTTGATAATTATATATTCGAAATATCAAGATCAATAAAAAAACTAAATCCAAATAAAAAAATTTAAACATTTGCTATATTTTCACGTTTTTTAAAAATTTACATGATAAAAAATTGTAAATTTTATAAATGAAGGATATTGTTTTGAAGAATAAATATATGAAATTTCGTATTTCTATCATGTCTAGAAAATTAATGATTTAAAAAAATAGTGATAACATCTGAATCGCAGTCAATGAAAAATTAATAAATAATTTCAATTTTGAAAAAAAAACCATTTTTGAAAATTTTTTATTAAATTTGATACATGAAAGCTAGAAACGTGAAATTTCGAATATATAATTATCAAAACCTAGGTGCATAATGTTATAAATTTCATGTGATGTTGTTATGTAAGTTTTTTATTAATTAGTGTAAACACGTTATCAAATACTTTTGTTCAGCTATTGTATGTATATATATCTATGTTTTTTGCGTTGATTTTAGAAACTTCAAATAAACAATACCATCATCTTCAGATTTTATATACAATTATTTGATAAAGCTAGCATTAAAGACCTGCTTTTAAAATGTTAGGACGAACTTTTAAAAGTTTAACTCTGATTTCTGCATCATAAAATCTACTCCATTTAATAAATTTACAAATCGTCTAAAAGTTTACTAAGGTATTTTGATCATCCACTTTAAGTTATTATTTCTAAGGATGAAATTTTGTGATAAAAATTTTATTTGAAAGTACCACAACATAAATATTATAATCTGTTTCCATTAAGCATTTAAATATGCAATAATACAAAGGATAGAAAAAAGAATCATAAGTTAATTGATTGTAATAATAAATTTTGGTAAAAATAGATAAATTAAGTATTTGGATAAAATTTAGCATTTTGTGAATACTTAAATTCATAATTTAGTAATCCTAGATATTTTAATATTTTTTTAATATATAGAAAAAAAATGAGCCATCATTGTAAAGTATTACTATTTAGGTCCTTTTCGATCCTTTATCAAAATTTTTTAAAGATTTATCAAAAATAAACACCGAGAAAACAAAAATTATACCATCTGATACATATTGTTTAGTTCAAGATCTAATTTATCTGGCCATCCAAGGGCCACAATTAATCAATTTTGAAATGGCAAATTTTTTGGAAAACCGGAGAAAATCATTTGATGCGTACTAAATTCTGAAATATCACAAATCTCATGTGATGACTACTTTTAAAGACGAAATATAAAAAATTTTAATATTATCTCTAAATTTTGATCAGCCTCTTAAAAGGTTACCCTCCAATCCGAATATTACCGGATTTGTTTACTATTACAAACATCTGGATTAACATTAAGGTTTCCGGTTCAAACTATTTTTGAAAAAACCCGGCTTTGGCAATAATTTGGGCTCATCCAGAAGTTTTTATATTTGAAAATTTCTTGTTAAGCTATAAGTCTCCAGCCAGATAATAAATGAATTATTCTCGCTCGATAAGTCGGTTTATGTGATTTTCGTGAAACTTTGAGAGATAATCTTGACTATTTTTAGTAATGTATGATCCATAATATACGTAATAATAATTTCGTTATAATAATACAGTAACAATAAATAAATATCTGTTTCGTAAATAATATATTATATTGTTGAATTTATTATCAGGACATGAAATCCTATTATAAAATCCCGGCACTCCGATAAAATTTTTTACTTATTATTCGTTTTATTCGTTTTACAAAATATAAAATATCAATCACAACTTGATGCAACAAACTCTAGATTGTTGTTGTTGTTGTTGTTGTTAAGGAATTGTAAAATTATAAATAAAGTCTTATTTCCTTTAACAAGATAATATAAATTACAATGATTATATTATGGTTACTAGTACTATGACAAGAAAATAAAATATAATGGTCAATTACTTCTGCTATCACTATCATCATTACGAAGGAAAAATAAATTGATAAAGAAAAAATATTTTAATTGGATTAGCAATGTGAATATATTATTTTATTCGAATTTTTCATTCGAATAAACTTTCAGTGTAATTCGAATACTCAAATTCATAATAATAATAATAATAACAATAAAACGAATGATTCGAACAAACCTTATTCGAATACTAGCTAGTTATTATAATTTTTTTGGTCCGAGATATTTGATAAAACCGGGCATTTCCCCAATACTTTTTGATTTACACATTTCGCGCCCTGATCAATTATAATAATCCGGGGCACATTTTGCTTCACTTCTGCGTGCAATGTTTTTGAAGCTTTAACTGTAACAAATCAGATAATATATAGTAAAGATAAGTACTAGAAAATAAAAAGATAATCACGTGGTAATTCTAAACATGATTTTTGTCAAACCTTTTCTACAAGGACGCCTTGCCCAATATTTAATGCCTTTCCATGTTAAAAATTCCTTCTACAGTCATAAAAAAGTTTGAAATGTTGATGGTTGATTATCTAATTTGGCAAATAAAAAATCACATATCTTTTCTAAATTCGCAAATAATTTTTATTAAAGTTCATGTACAAACTACCAAACTTGGTATAGTAATAGATAGCTGCTCGAAATATTATTACTATTATTACGTGTTTTTAATATTACCTGTAAACACTCGAAAGTTGATTAATCAAGCTGTCCAACTGTAATGTACAAGATTACTAAAACTGAATTTATAAAATATACTTAAGATATTGTAATTCATATTTTTATCCGACCTTTTCATATTTTCTAGTAATATCATATTCATTTGGTATTCTCAAAGTTTTTATCTCACCATCAATTCAGAGTTGCCACGAATTAAAATGATATCTTTTAAATCATTCAACCTAAAGAAAAATAATTTTGTCTAACAATCTTTCTTCTTTTTTTTTTTGCTGTTACTTTATTCATATCAGCCGATTTGGTTTTTTGGAACCTTTTTCAATCCTTATATCTTACTGTGTCTCGACATATTTTTAATGTGTAACTGACCAATAGAATGATAATTAACCCTAAAAAAATTTATTTGCTTCTCTAAAAAAACTATTCAACAGCTCGTCAAATCAATGGTACCTCTCAAAACCAATGGGTTTTTTCTAGTATAAAGTATTCATAACATTATGATCATACTGCGCTGAATTTTTGGGGTTCAACAAGATCAGCGCATATGTATCGTGTGTGGGCATTGTATTAAAAAGTTTGTGTTTTAATAACGTGTTTCTAATTTTTATTGTTTGAAAATAAAAAAAGATCGTGTAAATTTTATCAAATTTCCCTACTATTATTACTCAATTAATTATATAATTTTTGTATTTTATTAATATTTCTAAGCTCTTGAGAATGAACGAACGGTATGTTAGTTTGAATGTAGTAGTAGGCACATTAAGTGGAGTATTTGATTCGTATTATTTGTCGTAGGAGTAATTTTAACATAATAATAATAATTTAATAGATTTTGACATCAATTGAGAAGGCCATTCTTATTACTAGAAGCCTATTTCATGAGACTTCGTTTTCAACTTGGATCATTTTGTTTATTCTTTTGTGTTAAATATAAATAAAAATTTTTCTAACATTTTAACTTTGGGGTTTCAAATACAACAGTATGAACACTATAAAAAAGGGACAGTATAATTTCAATAATAAGTGCAGATCTTAATTTTTCTCGGGAAAATTTTTTTGAATTGACGGACCTTATCAAATTTGGGAAAATATACAATTTTCAACTAATCAATTTATCTCCTATTAAAGCATAAAATTCACAAGACTTTGATGTAAATTCAATAGCTGAATCCTTATTAAAAATCAATAATGCTATCAAAATTATCGCTTAAAGGAGATTTATCTGAAGAATCATCAGAAAATAAAAGAAAAGATCAAAAAAAAAAATCAAAGAAAAGAAAAAAAACTAGAAATGAAGAAGTGGAAGATGATGAATTTTCGGAAGAAACAATTCGCCAAAAAGTTAGAGAATATAATATACATTTAGATCAGGTATTTGAAACTTGTGAAAATTATAATTTATTTATTTTGTTTTTTAATGAAGGATTGTTTTTCTAATTGTTAATTCAATTAGAATCCAAATGATATAGATGCATGGCTTGAATTTATTTCGTTTCAAGATAAAAGTTTAAGATTCGGCAAAACAAAAAGATCTGAATCAGCTACTGCAAAATCAAGTATAAATGAAGTAAAAATTAGTATTTTTGAAAAGGCATTGGAGATTAATCCTCATAATTCAAGATTACTTGGCACATATTTAAAATGTTGTGAAAAGAATTGGGAGTGAGTTTTTTGCTCGTTCAAGTTATTTTTTTGTATATCAATTGATCATTTTATTTTACATACTTAATTATCCACTTAATTAATTTTACCTAGTGTACCTAAATTGCTCACTAAATGGGATCAAGTACTTAAAGATAATTCTACAAATATTTCTCTTTGGATACAATATCTTGATTTTCGTCAAACAAATCTTGTTTCTTTTACAGTTAGTCAATGCTTGCAAGTTTTTGAAGATTGTTTACATGTTTTAAGAAAAGCTGTTTTAGTTACCTTGGATAGATCTGGTATTATTATTTTTTAAACTAATTAATTCATTAAAGGCAAAATTTGAAAAGAAAGTGATTCATATATTAATTATTTTTGTATAGAGAAACTTGAAATTGAAACAATTATGATTCATATTTTCCAACGTGCATGTTTTTTTATGTTTCAATCAGGTTTGAAACCACTCTTTATTTATTAAGAACTATTATTAAATTTTTCTAAAAAACTTGCTTTCTAAATAATAAATAGGGTATACAGAAAGAGCATATGCATGTTGGCAGGCAATGATTGAACTAACTTTCTTTGGACCAGACTCTCAAAATCCAATTTTTTATGATAGAATTGCAAATTTAGAAAATTTTTGGGAATCTGAAAAACCACGTTTTGGAGAGATTGTATAATATAAATTTACTTACAATTTCTTTTTTTTTGGGGGATTTTGTTGAAATGAATTGATTAATGATTTTTATTATTTATAGAATGCTGAAGGCTGGGGATCATATAATTATCAACACAGTAAATTATCAATACTACTAATATTAGTAATTTCATACATATTAAACCTTAGAATAAATTAATTATTAATTAAATATATCTTTGGCAGGTGAAATTGATGATATTGAAAATTTTAATACTTTACCAACTTCTCTTAATCTTCAAAATATTGAAGGTAATTGAATCTAATGGCTTATATCTATGAATATTTCCTAGCATCATTACATGTATTTTTGCAAACTAAATACTTCCATTAATAGGGGATACATTTGAAAAATGGATAAAGGCAGAAAATTTTTATGAAAATGAATTACTTCCAATAAGATCAAGTTTGTTACACATTTATATTAATAATATAATAATAATAATAAATATAATTTATTCATTATATTTTTTATACAGAAATCATTGACGAATCAGATCTAGATGATCCATATAGAATTGTGATTTTTGATGATATTTGTAGTTTTTTATTTGATTTGACTTCAAATGAATCACGTTTAGAGCTGTTATATGCATGTTTTGATTTTGTTGGAACATCTTTTAATCCTTCTTATTCATCATCAAATCCTTTGATAATTGATTCATTTTTGAATTCTAAACTTGCAAATGAATTAATATCAGAAAATAGTTTTTGGTCAAATATTTCATTATCATCATCATCATCAGCAGCTACAGCAACAGCATCAACATCAACATCAACATCAACATCAACATCAACATCAACATCAACAACATCAACAACAACAACAACATCATCATCATCAGCAGCAATAGAAACAAAAACAGCAACAATGTATACTTTTAAGTTTCCAATAAAGGCATTCCCACAAGAATCAAACAATTTATTTAAATCTGAAAATTGGCCTTCAATTTGTGATGATATTGAAAGTTATAATATAAATATGAATTTTGCAAGGTAAAAACATAATATATATTACCTGATGATTTTTAAGCTCATTTATATGTTATTCATTTTTTTATTGATAACAATATTTTAATTGTAATAGAAATGCCATCTCCCAAATATCACAATGTATAAATGATCCAGGAATTAAATTATGTCAATTAGCATTAGAGCAATTATATGATGTTTCAAGGTTAATACTTTTAATGAATTATCTTATTAATATTATTAATTATTACAAGTAAAAAAAAATTTTATAAAACTAATTATATAGTGCAAAAAATCTTGCAAGAAATATGTTGGAAAAAGAATCAACAAACTTATCATTTTGGAATGGATACGCATTACTTGAAAAATCAATGAATAATATAACAGATGTATTCATTCAAAATTTGTTTAATTATTCTTTATCAATAACAAATAACTTATTTTTTTTTTTTTTGGAAAGGCACAAAAAGTTTATCTTGCAACACTTTCACAATATCGAAAATTTCCTGAAGAATATAAACAAGATGTACCACTAATTTATCGAATGTTTGCAGAAATGGAAATTGAACAACATCATTTGAAAACTGCTCTAAGTATGTATTCTTTTACACAAATATAAATTATATATTTCCATAATCTAACTGATTAAATAGATGAATGGATTAAGTTTGAATATTTTATGTTGTTCAAATCCTTAATAATAATTAATATATATATATTTATATTATATTTATATTTATATTTAAGATGCACTTGTTAATATAACAGAGACTCGAATAGTGACGATAGGTAGGTAAATAAATATTATCATTATTGATATATATATATATATGTTTAATTTTTTTTTCTTGATAATACCAATAGATTCAATATCAGAAATGGATGTGCCTAGTATAAAAATATTAAAAGCCAGGAAGGTTGGTATTTAAATAATATTAGTATAATTTTAAATTATTACTGAAAAATGCTAATGAATTTAATATACATATGTATTTTACAGTATTTTTCTCAACAGTTGGCAAGTCTTACATCATCATCAGCTTCAAAAATAGATTTGTACAATTTCTTAAATTATTCTATATGTTTAGCATTTTTGGAATATACAAGTAGAGGGTTACAACATGCTTGTAAAGTATTTGACGAAACATTAGAAAATATAGAGGTTAGAAAGGGTAAAATGAGTGTGGAAACTGAGATGATATACATGGCATATCCTTTATATTAATATAAAATTTTAGATGGATAGATAGATTACTTGTTTTATTTAAAATGGTTTAAAAAAATAAAATTCTTAACAAAAGGTAAACACTTATATTAAATTAATTTACCAGCATTCTTTAATATGTGATACGTCAGAAAGAGAAGAGACGTTTAAAATTTTGCAAGATCTACTAATTAGGGCTTTGGATGCTTTTCCCAATAATACGATTTTTTTGTCTTTGTTTTTGCATGAAGAAACTAATGGAAATATTCCTACAAGTTTAAATCAAATGTTAGAAAATATGTTAAAAAAGTAAGTCAAATAATTGACAATTTGTTTTTTTTTCAATTACTTTTGATATTAATTCACTATTATTAATATTTGTTAATAATAATAATGATATTCAAGAAATCCAAACCATATTCTTTGGACTTTTGCCATTTTTTCCGAATTACATAGTCAACATCCCTATGATGTTCACCGAGTTCGAAATCTATTTGATAAAGCACTTGAATGTCCAAAGTAAATTATATATACATATATATATATGTGTGTGTGTGCACATACATATTAATAAAAAAATATTAATCATTATTTTTATGTAAATACATAGAACAAAAAATTCAATATCGTTATGGGCTTTGTATATTAATTATGAAATTAAACATGAACAATATAGTAAAGCCAAGATTCTGTATTACAATGCAATAAGAGAATGTCCATGGTCAAAAGGTATGAAAAATTTTATCTAAAACATTAATTAATGATAGTATTGAAATAATTATTATAAAAAATTAATAAAAATTAATAAAATTGTTAGATTTGTATATGATAGCATTTCGAAAACTACGTTCTCAATTTTCAACTGAAGAATTAGATGAGGTGATGAATGTAATGTTAGAAAAAGAGATCCGTTTAAGAGTTTCAATGGAAAAATTTACCGAAGAAAAGGAACAAGAAGAAACAATGACCAATATAGTCCAATGATGGCAATGATGACAGTAATGAAATGCATCTCATTTATTTAAAAAATAAAAAAATCTAATAAATGAATAATTTAAATTATTTAGAAATTATACAAATAAATAGACACATATATATTCAATATTAATAACAATAATTTACCACATACAGTATATTTCTTTACTATTTTATACACTTCGTCTTTAAAACAATAACAATAAGGTTCATGATTAACCAGTAAGCTTCATAAATTTAAATATCTTAAATCCATAAAGGACTAATTAATATATATAAGGATTAGTTTCTATTGTAGAGGTGGACAATTATCTAATTAGTCGTTCCGATTGGAAATCATTTTTTAGTCTTGGAATTTTTTGAGGTAATTAGATTGCTATTCATTAGTTGCTAAAAATCAGGGAGTCGGATTAATGGAATAGAATAAAAAATAGTCTTAACTCGATGAAATAATCATTATTGTCCATACTAAAATATATTTTCCCTCTATTCAAGTTGTCCCACTCCCCAATTGAATCCTACACATTAATTTCTTTCAGTAGCATAGGTTTTTCAATAAATTTGAAATCATCAATTTAAAAAAAAAATTCTGGTTTATTTGTGTCAATTAATCAATTTCTTGGTCTTTTATATTTGGATTTTATTATTTTTAGAATCTTTGACTTTCTAACAATCATTTTGAACCGTTTCATCTTCAAATGTTCCTTTTCTGGTTTTCATCCATACAACAATTATCGAGTAAAACTGACTGATGATGATTGATATCTGGGTGAAAAACATTCTGATAAAGAAATTTTATTCCTTCTTTAATTATATAATTTTGTGTAAACCATCAATTTAATTCACATCTGGATCCAGTTTGTTAAATCCATTATAAATACCTAACAATTAACAGCAAATTGTTAACGTTACAAAAATTACTAATAAAAATCGCTCCTTTACACAATAAGTATAATTCCCTTGTGCCATGCATAATATGACTTTTATATACGAATAAAGTTAATCTCAGAAAATAACTATACAAAAAAATTAAAGCGTTGCATGTGATATTTGAGACTTTACTACATATAGAGGAAACGTATTAAGGAAAGTTGTATTATACCTTTTGTATATTTAAGGCTTCGCTCATGATCAACGGTTAATCCAATTATTTGGTAAGGCTTGCTTTGAAATATGAGAGAAGATCTTGCTTTTAAAAGGTTGGAACGTTTGATATCTTGTTCATGTCGATTTTAATTGCATCGTATATACTAAATTCAATTAATTTTTTAATATTATATATATATATAAAATGATTTTTGTTTTATTATTTTATTATTAATAAATGCTACAAAACTGAAAGAATTTTTATTTCTTTTTTTTTTTTTTTTTTTTTTAAAAAAAGTATATATATATAAAAATTTTCAAAATAATATAAAAAGATAAATAAATAAAATAAATACAAAATAAAAAAATTTGATTTTTCAAAAACCTAAAAAAAACAACTAAAAGATGATTTTCAAAAATAAAATAAAAAAATATATCAATACCAAAAAAATTTGATTTTTGATTTTGCCAATAAAAATATCTCGATATATATAAAAATATATATATATATTTATAACGAAATAATAAATATATAATTGTATGTGTGTGTGATATTTTTATAAATGATTAAAAAAAATTAAACCCCGATTGGATATGTAGAGATTAAAAATATCGATGAAATGTGTATATATATATAATATATATATATAAACTAATATATATATATATATATATATATTGTATATGATATATATGATATGTATATGTGTGTGAATATATATATATAAGAAATAAAAAAGAAAAAAAGAAAAAATTCGGGTTAGCAGAATTGTAGTAGTAGCAGTAGCAGTAGTAATATGTATAGATATTAATAATATATAAGATAAAAATAATAAGATTTTAAAGGTGGACTTTTTTGTTTTCCTAAATAAAAATATATATATATATAAAAAGAAAAAAAAAATAAAATGGAAAAAATAGATACAAGAAAATAGAAAAAAATAAAAAAGAAAATTGTCCATTCCATATACTTGGAATTTTTTTTAATACCCTCCTGCGGCAACAAATTTGTTAGAACCGCCATCCTTGTAATGTTCTTTTAGATATTAGAAAAAAGAAAATGAAGAAAAATAAAAAGTGTATGTATTTTGAAAGTAAATTATTCTCTATTAATTAATATTTTTTTGATATTGTTTTTATTATTATTATTATATTTATTATATACTATTACGTCTAACCCATATCCTTTCTGGCAGTGAAGTAGATTTTGTTGTTCCTTTATTTTTAGAAATAGAGCTAGATTTAGAATTGTTCCTTTTGAGTATTTTGTTATTATTATTATTATTATGCCGTGTTCTAACTTTACGAGTTCTAATCACCCAATGACCTCCACCGCTAAATGATCCATTACGTTTTGGTCGACGTAATACTACACTTTTTACTCTTCTAACATTGTCTTTTTTATTATTATTTAAATGGGATGAGTGTGGTGTCCATTTGAATGCCGAAGGAAAAGATCCGGGTATATTTAAATCTCGATCTTCTTCCTCGTGTTCCTCCATTTCATGATCATATATATCATTATTATCTTGTTGATCTATAATATTATCACTATAATTAATATTGCTACTAATACTACTACGCTTATTGTTATTGTTGTTGTTTATGTTATTGTTGTTATTGTTATTATCAATATAATAATTAGAATCGTTTATTGCTATAGGTGATTGTAAAAAAATATCTTGTTTTTCGTTATTAACATTAGTATTATTATTATTAGTATAAAAATTATTGTTATTATTAATAAGATACGTGACGGCCTTCATTTCAAGGCAGGTACAAATTTTGACGTTTTTTTTTTTACTGTCTTCCACCATCTTCGCCTCACCATCTTGATGATCTAACTCGATAGCATTATGATGATGATGTTCAATATTGTTGTTTTTATCAATGTTGTGAAATACTTGTCCTGGCTTTAGCATGCCAACCATTCTGATTACTTGTTGTCCTGCTACTTCACACAACCATGCATCTAGCACCAATGTTCCAAGCGTAAACAAAAATGTCCAATACATAAGATTCATAAAACTTCGTGTAGTGCTTGTCACCGACCTAGGTGTATGTGATGTATCGGTGGTTTGGAGTGACTCGGACATAAATGAGTGCGTTGCATGTAAAAATGGAAGTATAAGTGCTCGAGTGAGTAGACGACATTGTTGTGCAAAATCATCCAAGTCTGCCAGATCTTCACTTGGATGATTTATTGGATCAATATATTGTGATGACAACATATTTGGAGGCATGATCTCGCCGTTAAGAATATTAGCATCGTCATTTCCTCCTACTTCGTGTTCAATCTCTGCAAGAATGTTGTTAAAATTTTTTGCAAAAACATCTAAACTTTGTTGAAATTCCTCCTCTTGCCTGCTTTTTTGTTTACTGTGACCTACTCTCTTTTCTTTCTTGCGGTCTTGTATTAAATCAGTGTTTTCCTTTGATGATGGTTTTATTAAGCCTTCCCCAGCAACTTCTTCGCCATCCTCCTCTAAATAGGTGTCAAGATCATTTAAAAAATTATCGAAATCAAGTTGTGATGTTTCGCTAGCATTAGAAGGTTGTCTTGGCTTTGTTTCACGACCTCTTACGGGTACCTCAACAGCTTCTTCTGCTTGTTTAATCATTGCAACTAATTGGCTAGCTAAACGTGCAAATGACGTATCGCCAGTTTTAGTTATGTCTTCTTCGTCGTCGTCGTCGTCTCCATCATCGTCTTCATAGTCGTCACCTTCATCATTATCATCAACACCATCACCGTTATTCTTTTTAATTACTTTTTTATCGTCATGTTCATCACCAACACCATCATCAACATCTTTTTCATTCTTTTTTTCATCAATAATAGGAATAGCTTCTTTGTTGATGATATATGGGTTTATACCAGGTGACTCTGGTGTAGATGGAAGATCAGACTTCATTCTACTAGAAGAGTTAGTACGTGATAATGGAACTGGTGTATTAGATGGTGAAACTGCACGTGATCCAGCTCTTGATGATGAGCGTGACGGAGCTCTTGAGGCAGCACGAGAACCTTGACGCGAGTTTTGACCTGACATCGACGAGTCGATGGATTGTGATTGTGTAAGTGTTTCTTGCTTATCTTGCACTCCTTGTTCATCTTGAATTTCTTTTTTATCGTGCATTTCTTTCAAGACAGTTTGAATGCTAAAAAGTAACAATTAATTAATTAATTAATTATTCAATAAATAATACTTTTTATCCATATATATACACATTTACGTATAAAATAAATCATTACTAACTCTGAGAATTGAGTTAAACCGTGCATTGCAAAAGCTTGATCACTGAGAGCTGTTTGTAGTGAAGTTACAACAAGAGGTTCTTCTACTTGCGTCATCTACAAATGTTAATATGATAAAATAATGATTGGTAAATAATTTTGTAATTTATATTAGAGTTTTTAAGTAAGAAAATAGCCATTTTTTTGTTTAGATAATTATTGCACAATTATTTATTATATACGAATATAAATTTTCTCTCTTTTTTTTTTTAAACTTTTTCAATTTTTTCAATTTATAAAGAAAAAAAAGATATTTTTTTCTTCATAAAAATAAATAAATTCAAATAAAGATAAAAAATAGAATGTAGCAATAGTATTTTTATTTTAATAAAATTGGTACATACACAAGAATGGACACTAGGATGGTGATTGGCTTACCTTTTCAACAATATTAAAGCAAATAAATTTTAATTATAAAGAAAATATCTATTAAAAAAAATCTATTTTTTTAAAAAATTTTTTCTATTAAATGTATTTAAGTTGGAAGGTTGTTAGAGAACCTATCCTTTTGATATCAATATTAGAAAAGAAGGAAGAAATAACAGAAATAACAAACAGGTGGTTGAAGAAAGGGTTAAAAAAGAAAAAAAAATTTTTTTTATTGGCACCCAAAAGATATATATCA